ACGAAGGTTCGAGAGAAGTGGCGTGACACTAGTCACGTGACCTCGCTGACGCAACAATATTTACCTGGATCTTTTTTTTTGCTGTCGACTGTAGATGAATCCTAACCCTAATAATGTTATAATGAGTAATTTACGTTACATTTCGCACTTCTCGGAAGTGTAGTAAATACATTAAAGGTTCCCCAGTGGCACAGGGGTATGTCTGTGGATTTACAACGCTAGAAACCGGGTTTCAATACCCGTGGTGGACAGAGCACAGATAGCCCATTGTGCAGCTTTGTGCTTAACTACAAACAATCAAAATAAATTAGAGAAGAGGGGGGTACCTTGAGATCAAATGTTACAATTCTCATACTAGAGGAAATTGGGGATGTATTTAAATATTACCTTATAAAATGAAAACTAATTTAAAATAATATCAAAATGGTATTATTAGCAACTTTTTGATGCTAAGTTTATTCGTATACCATGATAATAAAGTACTTTAATTGAATTTTGAACGTAACTCAGTAAAACTTCGTGATATGCACAGAAAAGAATGCCGTATGGAAACAGGTAATTGATAATGACCAATACATATCAATTACCAGCTTTATCCAGAGTTATTATTTGAAGAAGAGAATCTACTACTCTCTAAAGGAGTTTTCTCTGGTTTGTCTAGACTTTTACTTTAATAGCATGCACAATATAGTGTTTACACGTGAAGGCAGCCAGAAAAAAACTTTTCTGCATGTTTTATGCGGTCTTCTCTTTTGGAACCTTTATTTTGGTCTGTGAATTACTTGTCATTTCGTTGGCACAACTTAGATACAACTACGTCTCATTTGTCCAGTTGTTGTTCACCCATGTACTCGAAAGCACAAAGCTTTGACACATCTAAGCTCGACATTACGCAACATACTATCTGTTTCTGACTCCAAACACTCCAGACAATTACATGTCTGGATAATTCAGTAATACTTTCTATATAGTTAGCTTTACTTAATTCTTCCTCACTAATAATCGCTCCAATGAAGCTTTCATGATAATTGTTTTGCCAGATACATATCACTTATGTCTACGTGATGATACATGGCTGTTAATAGGCAGCTATTTGGTCCTACAAACATTAAGCAAACTCTACCAACAAGTCTCTGAGTTCAGTAAGCAGTTCTGTATTTAGACTGCCTGACAATCCTCGATTAATAACTTGAAATACTCTATTAGAAATACTTTTGTTTTAGGACACAATACAACTGAAGTATCATTTGCCATATTGCCATTTTTCCTAAATTCCACCTCATTCGCTATGATGATCCCCTTTTGTTTTACATCGCTGCTATTAGATAGTGACAACAAATACGAATCCCTAGTTCTTCCGGTCTAATTTTATTTGGTTCCCTTCAGTTCTTTCCACATACTTTGTTGTTATATTTTAGTTTACTTGTCTTTTATTTTGTTTAATTTCTAGAAAGAAGCTGATGTTGAAATATTAGGTATGTGCTAACTGGCTACTGACCATATATCAATTATGTTTAAGGATACCATATTAGAAATTATACACACGTAAACCCTTTAATTGAACTCAAACTATCCAGACAATGGTATGAACTTCTCGTGCGTAACTAAAGCAATAGCCATTCTAGCTTGAGAAGCTCTTTTAACTAGGCAAAAGTCAAGTATAGACCATGAAAATAGAGTTAAAGTTTCGTTTCCTTCATGAAACATGATTAGATGCAATGAATGTGAAAGTACTAAGACAGTTCTTCTAGAATAGGGTGTGTGCGTGTGCTGAAATGACATCAATTCTTTATTTATTGCCTTACATCTTATACTATAATTTTTCCAAAGAATATTTTATTGAAATAAATCTGGTTATTATATTTAACCCTATGTTTCTGACTAAAATTCTGACTCTGCAGTCTCACCAACTTTATCTTAAAATGCAGTTATTTTGTTCTTCAACAGAGATAAAGGAGCAACTTACCATAGCTGTAGCTACGGAGCTAGTCCCCAGCATTGTGCCATCTCTCAACACTATCAGGAAAGAAAAGGAAAAGAAGAACTGGTATGATATCAGAGACCTGTTGAGGGATGTGCTAAACAATGCCATCAAAAAATGACATATAATCTCAATGCACACTTTTGATGGGAGCTCAAGGTCTAAGAAACCTAACTGGAGCTAATGCAATATAAGACCAAATCAGCTAAAACTCTCAGAAAGTGTTTTTTCTTCTTTTTTCTTTACCATCAAAAGCTCAAGCTTCATTATTTGCTCAGACTGAAGTCAAAACTGCAAAGTCTTCTTAGCTATAATATAACAGTCTCACCAGAACTTTAAAACCATGCCAACTTATGCTATAGCTAGTCTCAGTCTCCACCACACCATCCATCGAAAGTATCACAGCTGGATCAAGGTGGCAGAACAAAGGGAGAACTAGGCTCTGCTACAGAAGTAAGAAAATTCTTAGAAGTTCTAGAAAACAACTGCAGACTGTGTTGTCAAGAGAAGTTTGTTTGTTTTATTTGTTTTGAATTTCGCGCAAAGCTACACTAGGGCTATCTGCGCTAGTCGTCCCTAAGTTAGCAGTGTAAGACTAGAGGGTAGGTAGCTAGTCGTCACCACCCACCGCCAACTCTTTGGCTACTCTTTTTGCCAACGAATAGTAGGATTGACTGTAACATTATAACGCCCCCACAGCTGAAAGGGTGAGCATGTTTGGTGTGACGGGGACCTGATAATACTACCTATAATTCTAGTAAAAATACTTAATGATTAACTTTTTTCTGTGTGGGTGATGATACGTCCCCATCCCCAGTGGCTCAACGGTAAGCATAAGGACTTATAACTATACTCGCGGTGAGCACAGTACAAAGAGCCTATTGTGAATCATTGTGCTTAATAATGTAAACAAATTAAGACACAATGGTAATATTAAGATATTTGACTTTAGTCTGCATAGTATTGCCTTATTTAGAACAATACTTACGAACTTGTCAGCTTAAACACAAATAAAACTGAATATAAGAGTATTTTTTCAACATTAATTTTTAATATCATTATATATATATATACTTAATTATAAAATGATTATTATTGTGTTTTTAAACATTAGCTTCATTGTTTATTTAAAATATTATTAATTCTTGACCAATTAGGTGCAAACGTTTTAGCCGCATACAAAAATATGGCGACTTCCACTGGAGGATCAGGTACTTCTGCTCGAAAATAATCCTAAAATCGTTCATTGTGTGTTTCCTTTATATACTAGTGATTGTTTCTGTTTTTTAGATAATTAATTATAATCATAAACAGTACATAGATGTGTCATATATCTGTATTGTTTTACGAATTGTTCTTTGCTACGTATCTTTACTAACTTTTTATTAATATAATAAGATTTTAAGAGTAATTCAGTAACTCTAACGGTAACTTGTAAGTGCAAGTTGTAACCGTAATGGGCAAACAGTACACTTGTAAGGTAAATAGTATTTGTAACTTTTGAAAATTGTTGTTACTGTGTAATTTGTATAAATGGTATTGGTAACTCCTTATTCATAGGAAAAAGAAGCTGACACATACGTTAAATTTAATCCGAGTTAAAGTTAAAGCCATGTGGGCCATCAGTTTGATCAAAATCTACCGTCGTTATTCATACAGGCACACGTACTCGTTGAAAGTAAAATTTAAAGTTTAAACCAACTAACACATAACCACAGCTTGTGAGTCAAACCAAAAATAAATCTGTAAGAGAAAAAATATATTATATAGAATTTGAAAGCTTAAATTAGTACCCAGTAGTTTAAACTTTAGGTCAGTAATACCAATAGTATGTCATCATTATATGACGACAAATAATTTCTTGATGCAGTGGGGGGTGGGGTCTCTCTTAGTATATGAAAGATCATACAGTAGTACTGATACTAGGAAATGCAACATTTTATGCTTTATTCTTAGTACTGAGAAGGAAATAATTAAAACCATTTTGAAAACAGTTGATTGTTACAATGTTAGTGATGAGTTTTTTCACAACAAGTACAGTAACAAGCTAGTTTCTGCTGTCATGAACTGTTTTTGGACACGCTAAATGTACAAGGTGTTATTTTAAAAAAGTCTGCCATTCATTCTGTAAACAAGCAATTTATAATTCACAGAAGGGCAATTGTATGTTAAAAGGAATCACAACTCACAGTATTTAATTTTAAAAAATAGTTTTTATTTGAAATTCACTTGTACTTTAACATAGTTGTAGTAGCAACCAAAATGTTGTACAAATAAAAATTGCTTACTGTAAGTTGTGACTCTTTTTGAGTCTTTATCTACATTAAGAAATCTTAATTTAAACAATCATATATTTTTTGTAAAGGAATAACTTCATCTCAACCAATTAGCAGAGTTTAAAATGTTTAACATGTATATCTGTTTGTAGTTACTGGTATTATTCAAAGATGTTTTAACACTTGTAAGTTTAATATTGAAGTGTTTTTAATTAGAGGGATGTTAAAATATACCTTCAGTAATTTTTAGGTAATGTCTAAAGAAATGTTTGTTATTAGTGGAACAAATGGAAGTTTCAGACTAATAAAGAGAATAACCTATAAAAACTAATCTTTTGATAAAAATACATTGAACTGTCATTAAAACTGCATCTTTATATACACCCAGCAATATTTTACAGATACATTGAAGCAGTTTTTGAAAAGTAGATGAGTAAAACATAAGCCAAATCTTATTGAATATATATTTACAATATCAGACTTTAGCTGAACATATAGGCAAGTAAATGTTTATAATTTTTTCTGTATATTAAAATGCTATGACAGTTGACTAATTACAACCTTATTAGAAAGACCACTTGTTATTGTTACTAAATTGACCATATGTTACGTGTAGTAACTAGACACCTAATGTACTGCCTATGCCAAACAGAATATAGATATTAGTGTGTTTGCTAAATTCAGTCACAAAGTTCCAGTTACTAAAACTTGTAGTTTATCAATTGTGTGTTTTGTACAGTCATGTAACTAAGTTATTAAATAATGACAAAAGCTCCTATTGAAAAAATACTATCCTATAGAAACCCGTTTTTATCAATTCTAGAAACACATTGCTTAATAACAGAACAACACCACCACATGAGCACTAACAACAAAAGTCACAATTATCTTACACATCAAGTGAGAAACAATATAATTATTATTACTTTTTTGTTTTAGTTAGTTAGGAGAGCCCATGCAGCTCAGTGGGTAAAACACTCACCTTTGATACTGGGGAGCCAGGTTTGAATCTGAGGCTATCTTACAAAGTTTTCTCTGCACCTTTAGAGTAACAGTCAAATCCTGCTATTTGGGATAGGCCAGGAGTTGCTGATAAGTGCTTCTGATTGGTCGCCTTTTTTCTGGTCTGCCTGGCTGGGCCAGGTGGTTAGGGTGCTCGACTCCAATCTGCAGGTCACGGGTTCAAACATGCTTGCCCTTTCAGCCATGGGGGCATTATAACGTGATGGTCAATCCCACTATTCGTTGGTAAAAGAGTAGCCCAAGAATTGGCAGTGGGTGGTGATGAATTGATGCCTTCCCTCTGGTCTTACACTGCTAAATTAGGGATGGCTAGCGCAGATAGCCCTCGTGTAGCTTTGCGCAAAATTCAAAACAACCAACAAACAATTTTTCTTCTCAGTAGTGCTAAGTAAGGGATGGTAGCAAATAGTCATGTTTTTTTGCCATAATAGAAAACAAATTAATGAGAATGATGAAGTTATAACCATTTTGTGTTTTAATGTAAAAAATAGAAATTGATTCCACTGAAATTACTAAACGCAAAGTGGCTCAAACAGCTTTGTAAAAGAGTCAAAACTACACTAAGATGGCAACTGTTGATGCAATACTATGAAATAAGAGTCATCCTGTTGAAATTATTTCTCGAAAGGCTGCACTTTAAAATTTTTTAATGAAGGTGTTAGGGATGGAAAATATCCTAAATTAAAAGATTGAAACTGTCCATTAGACATTCATTTGATAATCAACTTTTTCAGCTGAACATGAACGAAGTTCAAGTGAACTATTTTTTTTGTACAGTTTACAGACATTGACACAACTGCTGGTGAAGGATGGGACAATTTTCTTTTTAATGACATAATAAAAGCATATAATTTAAGGACAATAAGGGACCTGTTGGTCTATTTAGCTTGTCACATCTGTTAAACTAAACATTAAGATCAAAATAAAACACTTAAAGCCAGCCCTTGTCATTCAAATATTTTTAATGCTTTCCTTTAAATCCCTTGAATTTACTGTGTCCACCAACTGTGATTGCAACCCAATTCAAAGGTTAATTACCCTGTTCAAAATATAAATGTGGTATCTGAAGATAACTCCTACCCTGCCACAATTCATATTTATGACCCCCTAAGGCCTAGTAGTCTCAGCATTAAGTGTGAAAAAAGGTGATGCATCAACACTTACAATTCTATTAACAATTTTAAACACTTCAATAAGATCTCATCTAACTCTTCTTTTTTCAAGAGAAAAAAAATTTCGAAGATCTTAACCTGTCCTAATATGATGTCTTTTCCATCCCCGGTATCATCTTAGTGGCCCATCTCTGAACCTTTTTCAGTTAGTTTTCTTCCTGGGGTAAGGAACCCAAGAATGAACACAATACTCTAAATGTAGAATAATCAATGACTTATAAAATGACATTATAGCCTCTTTAGACTTGTATTCAATATTTTTGTAGATATAGCCTTAAATCCTATTTGCACTTCCAATAGCAACAGGACATTACAAGGGTGGTTTAAGAGACTTATCAACTAGAACACCAAATCCTTTTATTCCATAATACTGTTAAGGTTATTCCCTTCAAAATTATACTCATAATTCAAATTATGGTATTCTATATGCATTAACTTGCATTTATTGTAATTTACAAGTTGAGGCATCCATCCTACATCTGGGGGGCTTGAATGTAGGGTTTCAACTAATAAATTAAGACATTGTATGCATAAGCCTAATTTATTTCAAATGTAATTTACTTTACAGCTACTTTATTTCACATTATAGAAATGGTGTTGCAGTTACTTTATTACTTTTATTGATCCCTCTCTATAGCCTCAGTGTTTGTTGATGTTCTTTGTGCTTCTTGATAGACCACATTAGAAGATTTTTCTCCTTCCTGGGTCAAAATAAAGAGATTTCTTAGTGATCCTGCTCTTGAACATGAAACATAGAATTGACCATGTGAAAACCAAAGAGTTTTAAGAGGTAACCCTGCCATTTTAAGGGTCTGCCTTGTGCTTTGGTTGCCATATTTCCTGGCAAAAATGTGAATATTTGACATTTTTAGTTAAAGTACTAAAATTTTCCAAGAAAACAAAACATCAAGAAAAACCTCAAAATAAAAAATTTTAGGAAAATAATTGGTCCAAAACTGTGGAGTCATTAGCTAAACAAACATGTTTTTGCTGTGGGCATGACCCAGGGTTGGTTGGGCCAGGTAATAACCATCCTATAACCTGTCTTTTGGTCCAGTGTATCATCTTACCAAGTTTGGTTGAGATTGGTCCAAAGACCATGGAGTAGTTTGCAGACAAACAAACAATTTTTTTACTTTTATAAGAATAGATAACCATGTGCCATCTACTTCCCTAACTGAATAAAAAAAAAAATTCTTTGGTAAAGCAGCATCATCCTCCTCACAGCCAGCAACACCCAAAACCTTAATTTCTTCAGCATATTTATATAATTTATTGAGCATTCCTTCATCTGTGTCATTAATGTAAATCAAAATGAGCAGAGGTCTTAACACTGACCCCTGAGGTAAGCTACTT